AAGCTCTTCTGCAGAAAAACTATTGCAAAAAGTCTCCAATACTAAAACCCTGAATAAACAATTTCCATAATGGAAATTCATTCAAAAGTTCGATTCACTAAAAGGTGGATCTCATATGCAATTGAAATGATCAAAATAAATTTTCATACCTTCTTAAACGAAGGGTTCCGTTAACCAAAAAAATCACGCGTCGCTTGTTCTGGAAAAGTGGTTGTGACCCAGTAGAATCCTCAGGAAGTGCAACCTTTTATGGAACTCTCAAAATCTATATATGAAACTATATCCGAAACGATATCGTTCAAATTCTTGAAAATGGAACACACGGCTCACCACTAAACAAGGTTCACCTACAGCGCAAGTCTATTCTGAGGAATTCACCCAAATAATTTTGGCAACACCTCATTCCTGACTTTCGGTGTTTTGAAAAACAATTCATGGCTTTTGCATCACGATACTGCACCTGCTCACTTATATAATAGAAGAATACTAGCACTTTCAGATATACAGTGCATTTCTTTAATGCCCTCTCCCCTTTTATTTGTTGAACGCGTCAACTCAAAAAATTGAAATTTGGTATAATGAAATCAATGTATAAATTCTTAATTTTGACGGGAAATTGACAGTGGAAAGGGGGGGTCTTGTGACACATCATTTTGAAGCTCCTGACGAATACTTCACAACCCTAGAATACGAAGTCAATATCTTCANGGATAGTCTCGGGGGAAGCGTACAGTATATCATCGCTTCGTAGTCTAGGACTGGTCTTATGAAAGATTTATACGTATGAAGGAGAGTTTTACTGTCGCATCTCCCGAGCTTGCCTCTCAGAGCCTTCAGCAGGTTGGCTCTCTTCCGGACTCTGTCCAGTGTCTCTCTCAGGTCGGTCTCCCAGTTGAGGGTCCTCGTGAAGGTGATCCCCAAGTAGGACACATAATCCTGGAGTATGAGGTTTTCCCCCAAAAGTCTGAGATTCAAGTTATCAGGGTTTAATTGGGCGGGTAGAAGTGTTAGGATGTCAGAATAGGATAGTTTGGGTTTTAGTGGGGTTCATTTTCATACGCCATTTGTTGCACCATTGCTCGAAATGGTTGATCATGTTTTGAGCTTGAATTTGCAAGCGGTGGGTGTTGGGGGCAGAAGAGTAAAGGATAGTGTCGTCGGCGAATTGTAGGATTTTATGGGTAGTGGGAACGTCATGAGCGTAGATGAGGAATAAGGAGGGAGTGAGGACGGAGCCCTGGGGGACTCCGGCTTTTGGGGTGAAAGGGGAGGATAATGCCTCACCGACTTTAACGCGGATTTGTCGGTTAGATAAGTAAGAGGCTACTAGTTGGATGAAATGATGAGGTAGACGAATTTGGATAAGCTTCCAGATCAGGCCCGCGTGCCAGACCTTGTCGAAGGCTTTTTGAATATCTAGAGAGATTGCAATGTTGCAAAAAGATGCGTTGATGTTTTGGGATATGTGAGTATGTAGTTCGGCTAGTGCGTTCTGAGTGGAGTGTTCGGTCCTGAAACCATGCTGGTGGGGAGGTATAATGTTGTGATGTATGAGGAAGTCGTTCAGATGGTTAGTCATTAGTCGTTCCAGCAGTTTGCCCAGGCAACTAAGCAGGCTGATGCTATCTCGGGAAGAAAAGTCGGCTTATATATTGGCAACGACCGTGCTAGATTTCTCTAGTTATTTCTGTAGTGGCCTAGACTGTTCGCGGCGACTTGTCGAGATTATTCCTTTCGCGATGAGTCATATGTTTGGTGTCTGAGATCACGGTCAGGGCCGGCTTCAGATTCATTACAATACTATACCCCTAATGGTCAGGGTCGTTATTCAAAGATCATTTACTTGTTTACGGTGCGACGCGTAACTTTCACGAGACTGAAAGGATTTTCAATGAACGTTTCCCGAATCGTTTTATCTGTGGAAAATATTTATCTGCAGAATATATTACTACTACCGGTAGTATACATAATAAAAAGCCCCCAGGTCATTCGTCCATTCCGGAAGAACAGCAAGTGCAAATAATTGGAGAGATGGTGGTAAATCCAGAACAGTCTATTTATTCCGTCGCGAAAGTTTGTGAGGTGTCTTCTTCTACTGTGTGGAGACATACAAAATTAAAATGGTGCACCAATTAACTGAAGATGACCTTGATGGAAAAACAGAATTCTGCGAAATCATGACGGAAACCATTGCAAGGCATCTTACCTATCTCTACAATATTTGTTTTAGCAACGAATTTTTTTAAACGGCAATATTTACAGACAAAATTGTCTTTATTGGGGTGCCACCAACCCTCACGTTTTCCGGGAATCACATACCCAATAACCAGAAAAAATTAACGTTTGGGCAGAAATATTGGGAAACCATATTGTAGGACCTCTATTAAAATGAGAGGTCCAACGAAAAGTATGCACCTTGCTTTTCTCCTTTTTTTGTAACTTAACGCAAAAATGCTCGGACAGGTCAATTTTGCTTTTGAGGGGGACACATTTTAGATGTATTTTTCTACCTGTGCCTTCAACCCCCTAGCGAGGGTGAGTAACAACCCTAAAATTTTAAATGGAAAGTGGGGTCGAGTGATATATCATTT